AAAACTTCTGCAAACATTCCGAGCTCCATCTCGCTGCTGCTTTTTTGCAATTGGTGAGGAAACAGTTCTTAGTGTTAACGCTGAACCGTGGATAGGAAATCCACACACCTCATCCAACAGGGACCATGCATGCAACGCCTTATCTGAATGAAGCCGTAACTTTCCGCATGTGCCTGAACAGCATCTCCATTCCCAGTGCATCTCAGTGTGCTATACCTGTTGTGTCTCCAGAGCACACTGTTACCTCCTGTGACTGGACACCTACTGTCCAGGCAGGTCACAGTTTCCCGTCATTAACCAGAGTCAGACTGCGCCACCTCGGGACCACAGGCCTTCGAGCTGCACTTGGAGGTCGTGTTCATGCCCCAGGCAGCACAGCCAACCCAGTGGGCGCATCATTTACCCATGTGCCTGCGAGCTAAATTTCAGAGGCAAAAACCCGATTCCTCTGATTTGAAGCAACTTTTTGCGTTTAGTTTCTGTCTTGGTCTACTTAAAACCAAAAGACCTTTTCCACAACGCAAGCTTAATATGAGAGAAAAACCTGGTTTCTAAAATGCCCAAGAGACCACTGTGGACAAACTTCATGCCCAACTGTGTACACACACTGTGATTCCGCCGTGGCCAACGCTACCAGAGAATTTCTCCAGAGAATGATGATATTTGCAGGCATTCGATGGCAGAATATGATAGGAGTACACAGGCCAAAGTAAATGATGAACACATCATGAAAGGTTACGGCAAGGGGAAATGTTTAAAAGCAAAAATGAGGCATTCTGAAACTGTGTCACTGTGTCAACCTTAATAATAAATAATAATAATAAAAATAATAAACCTGGGAGGTCAGGGGGACCAGTTCTCACACAGGATGCCTGATGGTATCTATCACAAAGACTGCCAGGATCACAGTTTTGTACAAAAACCCCCAGAATCTTACAAAAAGTCCTCCTCCTCCTCCTGCCTGGAGACTGTTCAACCTCAATGATGTCACCGGCCCTTGGCCACTGCAGTGTCTCTGTGGCACGTTCCCCAGAGACTTAGGTGCTGGGACTCGTGTCCCAGAGCTGCCACACACAGGCAGGCTTTTGGGGAAAGAAGAGACCATGTGGATTCTGACAGCACCTGTGGGTCAATCCATTGTGGTTCGTAATGTTATGGGCTTTGGGGGGTTGATAGGAAGTGAGGCTCCATGGAAGGGAGCAGGTCGCAGATCCTTGGGGGCTGCGTTTTACCCCTGATCCCTAGGCTCTCCAGCCAGCCCGTCAGCCTGTCTTTCTCTTTTTCTACTCCTCCTCTCACTCCTTCTCTCTCATCTTCTCTTCCCATCTCCACCTGGCCCTCGGCTCCATAAGGACAGCATCTCTGCTGTACCCTGCCCTTCCGCCATGACGCCCTGAAACAATGGAGCCAGCAGACCACAGATGGAGACATCTGAAATCATAAGCCGGAATGAACCCCTCCTCTTGTGAGTTATTTTTCTCAGGGATTTTGTTGCAGCAACAGAGCTGATGTCAAACACAGCCAGTGACATAATACGGGCCGGTGACATCAATTTGAGGTTGAACAGTCTCCAGGCAGGAGGAGGACTTTTTGTAAGGTTCTGGGGGTCTTTGTACAAAACTGTGATCCTGGCAATCTTTGTGATAGATACCATCAGGCATCCCGTGTGAGAACTGGCTCCCCTAACCTCCCTGATTTATTATTTGTATTATTATTATTTATTATTAAGGTTGACACAGTGACTTCATTGTTGTGCTTAGGTGGGGACTGCCACCTACCACTGTTCAATTCCCTTTTGGCTGTAAACATTGATTCTCCGGTCTTCTAAAGAAATACCAGTGTGGGTCATGGAGTCACTATCTCTGTACCCATCAGTTCGGATACCTCCGGGCCAAAAGGGATGACCCTGAAGACAAACACCACCCCAGTCTTTCGGGTCTCCTGCATTTGCTTGTGTCTCAAATTTCAAAGACAGAGTAACTTCCCCTACTTCAGTCATGTCAGGGGTTTAATGCCTACAAGGATTACTGAGAGCTGCACAGTTACTGAAGTGGCAGAGATAGAAGAAAATGCCATTTCCAGGAGGGAGACTGGTTAAGGAAGGGAAGGGGACAGTGAGTGCTTCCCCGGGAGACGGGGGCTCGGTCAGGCAGAGAGCGCAGACAGCCCCAGCAGCGTGCCTGTCCTGCCAGGGTGCAAGGCCTCTGGCAGCACACCCGGAGCCCTGTGATTGGCTCAGAGTCAGGACTCGGTCACGGGGTGGGGGTGATAACTAAACACGCCCTGTGAGTCTGCTGCTGGAGCCCTCCCCATCTCAGCCTTCCGCAGACATCCTCTCTTTTCTGTCTTTTTCTAAACACTGTGATTTTGGCTTTGCTACTAGCTGTCTTGTTCGCCACTTGATCAAGTTGTCACAGCGTGATTGCAGGAGGTCACCCCTGCCTAGTGAGTGATGCTAGCTCCTCCTCCATCACTCTCAGATCTGAACAAACTCCAGGAACAGAAGATGACCCATCTTTCCAGACCACTGCTTTGGCAATGACCACTCTCAGGTAAGAAGCCTTGGGTTACTTTCATCTCTGTCTATGGAAAGTTTCACCATCTACCCCTCTTCTAGTTTGGCTGCCTCTGCTTTTGTCACACGGCTCTTCCGAAGCGCCTTCTTCATGTGTTGCATGGGTATTCACAGGCACCTTTACAGACACTGCTTAGGGACTTCCTGCAGCACCGGAGGGGATGGCCATCTCTGCCTGGCCTGCCTGGCTCCCAGTCAGACCACCTGTTTCATCACAATGGACACCCATAGAAAGTCTTCCCTCCCATCTAGGAGCTGCCCGCCTGGATGAGTTCATGTCAAAGCAGACACAGGTCTTAGAAACGGGCTGAGCCAGATCTGTCAGAGACCTCATGGCTGACCTGTGCCTTTCTGAAAGGCTCATCCACAGTTAGGGTTAGTTAGGTCGATCAGGCCCCTGCACCCATGACCTGCCCATGAGGTTACTAAGAGCTGGCCTCACTGCCTTGACTCTGGGCTGTCACTGTTCCTGGCTTCTGCTCTGCCTAATCCTGCCTTGCTCAGTGCCCTGAGGGGTGATGAACTCCTGAGATCAATCTCCAGCATGGTCTCCAGGGAGCTCTCCCGCACAGTCCACTTTCAGAGATTGCCAAGTAGTTTCTTTCCCTCTGCATATGCTCCGTCCTTTTGGCTATAGTTTTGAACTTTGGTGATGCCCTGTGCCTGAACTGGACTTGTGATCTTATTGCACAGGACTTCTTGGTAGAAGACAACTGCCTCCCTGAATGTTCCCCACCTTCTGATATGCAGGCATCCTATCCAGATTTTCTAGGAGATCCTAGAGTCTCCCTATTGACTTTATCCTGTGAGGAGGCGGCCAGGGTCCCCATGTCAGATGAAATGATGCCCTTGATTGTGAAGTTTCAAAGAATGATGGTGTGGGGTTATCTTCCCTCAAATAAGGCAAAGGTAAAGAAGTGGTGGTGGTGGCTGGAATTAGCACCAGGAGCTCAGGAAGACACAGACTGCCAGTGTGTTGTGTACTGGTTCATCAGCCCTTTGAGCTGAAGTCACTGCAAATGTTTTCTAAAATTCGTAGAACTACGCAGTGTCACGTTATTTTGCGAAGCTGTTGTCTGATCAGTATGATCACTTGTTTTCCTCCTGTGTAGTTCCTGTACCTGGAAGTCCTGAACACCAGCGTGTAATGTGTGGGAGCTTAGCAGCTTCGAATGGCTTCTGCACTGCTTGGAGAGAGGCTCATCTGAAGCCCTGATGTCTAACTGTAGAGTCCACGTGGATGGGTGAGCTCCAGCTGGTGGAAAGTGACAATTTAAACCTCACATGATGTTGGTATTAAGTCAGAGCCTCCAGCAGATGTCATGGCATGCAGAGCAAGGTGTCCGTGGTGCAAATCCCACTGCCTGCTATGTGGTGAATTTCCAAAAAGGGAAGCCACACATACACGTTTTGTGTTTTAAAATACTAGAAAAACTCAAAATGGTACACTCTTAATGCAAAAAACATGAATTAAGATGAATATAATCATGCCTGGAAAACATGTATTAATGAAGAACACAAGAAAGGTAACAATTAAGAGAAGCATTAATCAATTTATACTTGCTTCTTAGCCAAAAATTAGTCTTTTGAAAGTCTCTGCTTTTGCAGATTTATGAGGTCACATTTTTATTTTCACTTTTTATATTTTCCAAAGGATAACATCAGGGCCTGATTCAAACCTCAATGTTATCTTTATTTCTATGCTTGAACCTCAGAGGTGAATCCTGCTAGGTACTTGTGGGGTACAAAAATTCTTCCTGGTGTAAACGGCCTTCTAGATTCCACGTGGTAACCTAATTCTGTCACTATCACAACATCAGTTTGTAGGTACTGCTGATGAAGGAGAACAAGAGAAGGATGATAGCAGCGTGCAATTTCACTTTTTTGCTCCCGTGCTTACAGTAGTCTGTATATTTTAACTGAGCCAGTTTGAGGTCCTGACAGGCAGTCAGTAGCATGGAAGATCATCTGAGCCAGCACTAAAGTTACCTGACAAGTAGTAAGTCATTTAAAATGGTTAACATGCAGGGGCACCATCACCAAAAACAGGGAGGGCAGAATCAGAAAATGGTGCGTGCGTGCGTGTGTGTGTGTGTGTGTGTGTGTGTGTGTGTGTAAAACATCTGGATGCATATTCATTTTTTGAACTTGGTCTTTTCTCTCAGTGGGTAAAATGTATGTTGTCAGATTATCCTCCAAGGAGTTACTGAACATCAGTGTAAGTAAGTCTTAATGTTTAAAGACAAGGATTCTTGAAATGTTAAAATGTCAGATTGAATGGGTGCCCCGGAAAGTGGCCTAATTGACACATCATCTTCGGTTAGCCTGATTTTTGCTGATAGCTGGATTCAGAAACACAACCCAAAGCGAGTGGCACTCCTGTGAGAACAGTTAGCTGGAGGACATGCAGCACTCTCAGCCTTGCGTATTGTTTTTCACTCGTGGAGGTACTGCAGTATCAGGATGATGCATGGAGTGGATGGAGCAAGTCCCTGTTCCATCTCCCAGCTCCAAAAATCCATTTAACATGCTACCCTCGGATAGAGGACGTATCAGATATTAAACTGATAAGAGCAGATACTACACTTGATCTTAGCCAAAAGGCCGAGAAGCAGCTCAGCCCTGCACACTGCTGATCACTCACTCCCAAAGGATGGCGCGTCTTCCTGCGACCCTTTCCCCCATACGTACAGACAGACACTGGCTCTCAGCCTGAAGATGAACTCTGTCTTCTGCAGGGGAGCTGCAGGGGTGATAAGCAGACCAAATAGTTTACACACTAAATTTACTGGTTGCTAAACTCATTTTATAGAAATTCACCCTGAAAAACCATGATACCCCTTCCATCCTCTCCTTGTGAGTAGTGTGGTATTTGGACAGAACCCTGAGCCAGTCCCAGGTTTCAGAGAGTTAGCATTGCCCGGCAAGGATGTTATTCAAAATCTCAAGACACTGTACTGTCCAGGTGTCCAGTCACACCCTGAGGGACTACATTAGTTCACCTTATGTCGCTGTAATAAAGGACCCAATACTGAATACTGTATGAACAGGAGATTCACTTACCACCATTTTAGAGGCTGAAAGTCCAGTTATGTGGCCCCATCTGTTGAGCCTCTGGTCAGGGTCTAACAGGAGAGGGCACTGCAGTGGCGACAGGGCACACGGGCAAGAGTACATGGTGAGACAGAAGACTAGAGGGACTCGGTCAGGCTCGTGCTTTATATGACAACTCACTTTATATGACAGTCACTTAGAAATTAACCAGGCACTACATGATGATACGTTCACCCATCCTGCAGACGGTGCCTCCACACCCTGTACATTAGCCCCACCTCTGAGCAGTTCCACTCTACCAATGTCACTCTCCTGGGAGCCACACTTCTGGCACATGAACCACAGCCAGACCAGAACAGTTACCTGTACCAGCGATGGAGGACACCTGGAAAGATCTCCTGGGGCCAGTGGACGGGGTTGCCCCCAGGTGTTCTAATGAACCCATTGGCTGGGGCCCCATAGACATACTCTTTCAAAGCCCTGCAGCCTGGCCAGTGGGCAGGAAGGACCCTGCTTTCAAGTGCTCCTGTCAGCCGAGAAGGCTGCAGGCCACAGTCATACCCAACCACGAGCACTAAATCTCATTCTTCGCCAAGCACTGCGCTCTGGCATTTCCATAGTGATTTAATGTCACAGTCACACAGTGCCAGTGACATCAGCCTCAACAAGAAAACTAAGTCTTTGCATGCTGGAACTGCAGTCTCCTAACCCATGGCCCACACAGCAGCCAGAACCAGACAAGATGTTAGCACTGCTGCAGAAACCTGTGGACTCTGGGGGGGTCGTCTGCAGCAGGGGTCCCGTGTCAGCAGGAAAGGATTTCTGCCACAGCTTACATTGCCACTGCCGTGGGAATGGTGGAGGGTGAGTGTGTGTGCACACGTGTATGTGCGTGGTACTGCATTCTTCCCACGAGACGCGCACAAGGCAATATCCCAGATACAGCGTGGAAGGTTAGGGGTGAAGGGTATCTCATCCAGGTCTGGGTCTCATACGGGCTCATCAAAGCAAGACCACACCCTGCCCAGGGTGACCGCTACACTAGGACCATGTTTCACGTATTGAACTTCAATCCCCATTGTGAGGTGGTAAGAGGGCAGAAACTTGATCTGATTGTGGTGTTTGGATGAGGCCTTGTGGAGGTGATTGGGCTTCAACAATATCCTGAGGATGAGGTCTGCATGACTGTATTCGGAAGGCTTTATAACAGAGAGAGAGAGAGAGAGAGAGAGAGAGAGAGAGAGAGAGAGAGAGAGAGAGAGACCAGAGGAGATTAAACACACACACACACACACACACACACACACTATCTCTTGCCCTGTGGTGCCCTCTGTTATCTTGGGTCTCTGTCAGTCAAAGGTCATTACCAGATGAGAACCCCGACCTTCCCAACTGAGCCTGAACAATCCTTCCTTCTTAGAACTCGCCTAGTTGGTGGCATGCTGTTCTTGGCACCAGAAAATAGACTAAAACAGTGTTTCTGCTGGCTTGGGGGTTCCTAGGTGAAATATCTCCCAGCTGATGGACGGGGCGCTGAGTCCAGGGCCACTTAGTATTTAGGTGAAGAAATGCAAGCTCTTCTGGTTTGAGACAATGACATGCTAGGACTTCTCCTTTCTGTTTATTCTTGGAGCCAACTCCCCAGACAGAGCAGCACCACTCCCAAGGTCTGCTGAGTCCTGTCAACCGCGAGTGGATTTCAGTGGGTTTTCCACGGGCTGCCTCTGATGAGGCACTTGGAGAAGCTCCCTGCTCTGGCCAAGGCTGCCTCTGCCGAGAGATGGACTCAGCTCTCCCTGTTCTTACTGTCTGCCTGCACCTCAGCATTTGTTCCCCAAGATGCAGCACTTTTGAACCAGCACACTAGGTCCTGGAAACGCCCCATTCCCAGAAGATCTACAGCTTAACTTCATCCCCAGACCTCAGCAAATGGTCTGGCATGCAGTCATCACTCAAAAAAAAAAAAAAAAAAAAGGAAAATATAAGTTTCAAGAAGAACACATATGAAAATAATATGATTCAGAGCTAAGCAAGAGCTTGCCGGTTTAAAAAGATGTTCAGATAATCTTGCCCTGATTCTCTAGTTTACATACACTTTTGTTTTGAAACCGCGTTACAGAAAAGAAAGACTTGGATGTGGTTTAAAATGCATGAAGATGGAACATATCTATTAAATGTTCAAAATCTCCAACATGCTATTTGCCTACTGAAACTTCATAGAAAGTTTCGCAGCAACATTTAGACTGGAACAGGTTTACTCACTGTGTCTACCACAGAGGCGCTTTACTCTAGATTTTGTTTTATTATGCTTTCAGCCATGAGAGTATTGCAAATATTTGTTTCTCAGATTCAGATCAGAGTTTAGAATACCTGGCTGCTATAATTTTATTGTTTTATCCTAGCTTTCTTTTATGTTTAATTTGGTGATTTTCAAAAAGTAACTGAACTCTTCTCATTAATTGAAACTTCAGTTACAGGTTATTATGGAAAATACTGAAATCTGATGAAAAGTGAACATACTGGGGAAAAAAGACCAAAAAATCCCTAAATACACACAACAGTAGCAACAGCTTGAGGGCCCATGGAACAGTGAGCAAAGTAAGCAATGCGTCATGCTTTTAAGGCCATGGCCCTTTACAGAAGGCAGTTCTGCCTGTGAGCAAGCTGAATGCTCACAGCACAGGTGACCCTCTGGGCAGGTGACCCCACAGCTGACCCAATCCCACCCAGCTCTGCACCAGCTGGCTAGGGCACCATGAGGAGGACACCTCAGCTTTCCCCCTGCAGGCTGTACATACTGGGTCCTCACCTCCAAATATCAGTGTCCACACAAGGAGCCTGCAGGGCACGCCTGCCACCAAAGGTTGTTGCTGTAGTGCTCTTTTTGTTTGGTTTGTTGTACTAGAAATTGAACTCAGGACCTTGTGTTTGCCAGGCAGAAGCTTGTGCCGCTCAGGTCTATCCCGGGCCCTTACTGCAATCCTTAACCTAACCACCACAGAGGTTTCTACCCCGCCTGCCTCAGCCCATTCAAAGCAGATTTCAACTCCAGGACATCTAGATTTTGCAATCATGTCAGGTGAGAGAAGCTGCCCTGCATGCTGCCAGCCCAAAATGCTGGGCTGCTCAAACCAGCAAGTTCCCGCAGCAAGCAGCATCTCAGCCCTCCTAAGCCACCGTGTGCGTCAAGAGGGAAATCAGAATCCCGGCTTATGTGTCTCCCAATACTTCCTGACAGTAGCCCTTGAGATACACGCGGTGTCTGTTTGTCTGTGATAAACACACTGCAATACGCAAGTCTTCAACTACCTCCCAAAGCAGAGAGAGTGGCGCAGCCAGGTCCCCATGTCCTCTGTGCACGGTCATCCAGCTTCTCAGCCACCAGCTCGCGGCCAGCCTTGCTTTAGCTGCATGCTGCCCACCTGCCATCCTTGCAAACTCCAAATACAATGCTACTGCATTCACATGTTCTTCCGTATGCATCCCCAACTAAGACAGACTAAACGCAAGTAAACATCACATGCTTATCAACAGCTACGATGGTTCCCTATGTTTATCAGATTTGCAAGTTAATTTCTATTCCCCCCACTGTGATGTAACGAGACATTTGTTGGAGCAGGGGTCAAATCCTTTCGCATGGCAATCTTTAAATACTCATCCGCCTCTCATTTATCACAGACCCTGCACTCCTGCTCTGTTTTCCTTTCTGGATTTTGGTGGAACTTGCTGGGAATAATAGGATAAAGGAGCTGTGTTAGACCTCCAGGCAGAAAAGATAAGGGTGTCATGTCTAGTCTCTCCGCGGCCTAACTGCCCTCTTCCCGCTGTTTCTTAGTAGACTTCTCTACCTTTATTGAGTGTTTTACTGAAATATATTTCAGAGCCAGGAAGACAGTCCCTCCTACAGCACAGCTCTCAGACAGCCTCATCAAATGGCTTAGAATGAACCCATGTTTGCTGCAGTTCACATGTTTCCCTGCCCCCCAAAACGTGCCTGAGACTTCATCCCCCAAGCAACAGTGTCGGGAAGCGGACGTGAAAAGGTGCTTAGGTTCTCTGGAACGGATTAATGCCAATACCAAGGGCTGGCTGCCGGGTCAGTCACCTGTTCTCCTCCTACCTTCTGCCATGGGCAGATGCATTAAAAAGGTCTTCCCCAGATGCAGGCCGTATCTTGGACCTGAAGACTCCAGAACTATGAGAAACGAACTCCTGGAGCATGACCTCACCGCAGGTCTCCTGAGAGAGCCACTCAGAGCACTACGTGGCACGGGACTAAGGCAGCCGAGCACCGTCCCTGAGCCAGGGGACTGAAGGACAGAGGTTTCCTCGTGAAATAGGATTTCTACTTGTAAGAGTAGTAAGCTACGGTTATTTTCAGACTTGGATTTTCTAGAAAACAAATGAAATCTGTCACTTCTGTTGTTGCCAATAGTAAGATCAGAGACGTTAAGAGGAAACAGGGAGCCTGTAGAACTTACCCTCATCGTCACAGGCTTCATGGACTCCTAGTCCTTAAACCCCTAGTTAAGAAGATTGGTGAAGATATTAACAAATGCCAA